TAAATAACTAGCCCAAGGTCCCAGAATGATGGAGCTGGGATACCAACCCAGGTCAAGTCAACTTCAGAACCATACTCTTAGCCAGCAGGTCCACTGTTCTGTTTCAGAGATACTTAATTACCAGTTGGGCAGAGGGGTGGCTGTCCTCCAATATCATTTAAAACCAGATATCTTTTTCTCCCTGTATGCAGTCAGCATGCAGCTGGTCTCACTCTTTCCTCAAGCTACACTGAACACAGGCTTCAAATATGATGTTCCCTTTGCTTGGAATACTGTTCCCTTTCTCCTTTTCCTGCCTATCTCCTTCCTGCTTATACTCTCGGTCTCCACTTAAAACACCTCTCACTCCACGCCACCTCCCAAAATCCATACTCCTTGCCACCAGACTAGTTGACTGTTTGTACTGGTTGTTTTACTGCTATTTTTTACTTAATTGTCTGCCCGCTGGGATGAGGAAAGGAAGATGATAAAGCACAGAGGAGAATGGCAGTTTGGGAGATTATGGAGCAGAGCTGCTCAGATTCTTCCCTGAGCATCCTGGAGCTAGTGTTCACGCACCCTAAAAGTTTGCTCCTCTGAGCTTTCCTCCACTATCCCCTCTGCCCAAAAAGAAGTAAACTCATTTTTCTGGAAGCTTGTAAGCAGTGGTTGCTAAACTGGGGTACACCTCTCTGGGATTTGTGTTGGAATAGAGAGTCCACTAGGGTGCAATGAAAATCTATTTGCATTGTTAAATAAGAAATAAATTAAGCTTTATTGATGTTTGACAGATGATCTAGCACTAGCACCTTCACTTAGTGTAATTGTCAGAGGACCACATGCCACATACAATGAGCGCAGAGTGGGAGTCCTACCAGGAGGAAATGTGCAGGAGTGCTTTCCTTTGTGCGCTTTTGGAGTTTGTGACTGTGTCTAGCTGTTTATTTGGCCCGGTTAAGCATGTTTACAGATTATGTAGCTAGTTTAAACTAAAGTTCAGGAAATGGGTGTGACAAGATTTCTGTAAATAAACTGGGAATTAAATATAATACTAGTAACACAAAAGTGAATAAAATGTCAGAATTGACCCATTTCCTGTTACTGATGTAAACTTTTGTGGGGGGTTTTGTGCCACAATATTATGACAATCTGATCACACCCTTCAAGAATTCAGTAAAAAAAAAAAAAGTCACAAAGACTATTTGTGAAATGTTTTTACACTCATTGTCATTAACCATTCACCTCCCCCTAAATTATATTGAGCTTTGAGATATTAGCTAATGACAATCTGAAGCCATAACATTAGGAGAATCATAAAAACAAACCTCAACAAAAGAGTATTTCAAAGTGTTTACATCACGGGCCGGCCGAGTGGCTCAGTTGGTTAAGAGCGCGAGCTCAGAGCAACAGCGTTGTCAGCTCGATTCCCACGTGGGCCAGTGAGCTGTGCCCGAGCTGAGCTGGTGAGAGCTGTGTGCTCTTAGCAGCAAGGTTGCTGGTTCTACACCCCCATGGGATGGTGGGCTAAGCCCCCCGCAACTAACATTGAACACGGCACCTTGAGCTGAGCAGCCACTAGCTGCCAGCAGGTGGTCGGATGGCTCAGTGTGCAACAAGGTTGCTGGTTCAACTCCCGCATGGGATGGTGGGCTATGCACCGCCCCCTCCCCTCCGCCCACGCAACTAGATTGAAAGCGGTGACTGGACTTGGAGCTGAGCTGCGCCCTCCACAACTAAGACTGAAGGACAACAACTTGACTTGGAGCTGATGGGTCCCAGAAAAACACAATGTTCCCCTCCCCAATTTCCCAATAAAAATCTTTAAAAAAAAAAGTGTTTACATCGTGTGATACTTACTCTGGTTCTTTACGAAATTTCACAAATGATAACAATGTTCACAAGCTGTTTTTGATGTTTTAATTAACAGCAAAAAACAAAAAGCCACATGTCATGGGGGAACCCTTGTTCTTGCCACTATGTGATGATAAACTAAACACTACTGAAAGATGGGTAAAAAATGTGGCTGAAGATTTGAAGAAACAAGAGTTAAATTTCACAGTGTGGGAATTTTGCCATATAACTACATGGCAACATACCATAAAGGCAGCTCTTTCTAACAAGCCCTTTTCAAAAGTAACATACACAAGGAACTGCTTTTCTTTGTTAGCCCCCAAGGAAGAGACAAGATATAGAGGCAACAGGAATTTACCTCTTTAACTAAAACAAAAAGTTTTAGTGCCCAAATCTTGGTTTCTAAATACCATTCCCCACTAAAAGAAACCAGTACCCCTTGGAGAAATGGCTGATTTCAGGGTTGGGGCTGAAAAGTATTAAATGAACCTGAAACATCTTATGCCAGAGTTAAAAGGAGTGCTCAAAAAAAAAAAAAGATGGGACTTATCAAAAGGAACAGGAGCCACCTTGAAATGGCTCCCATGGACCTAAACTGGGACAATTTGACAGCATTAAAATGGATAAAGAAGATGAATCAGTGGAGTATAGGGGATTTTTAGGGCAGTATAAAACTATTCTGTATGATACTGTAATGGCGGGTGTTGGGAGCCGGCTGCGCGTCAGTGTCTGACATGGCCAAGCGCACTGCTATTGGGACAAATTCTGAAGCTCTGACTGAGAAACAGATACTGCTTTATATCTTAGAAGATTTAAATTCCCCTTTGGATGCCCCCCAGGAGGACGAAGATCTTATACCCCTTCTGATAGATATATCACAATAATTCTATTTTATACACTAAAGGCAATTTTAGTCACACTACTGGTCTCTTAGTAAAGGTCAAAGTACACACCCTGTAAATCTTAAGATCCTGCTTAGCTAATAGTGTTTAGGATAATTGTTAAGTAGACATAGTCACTATAGGTAAAAGGATTAGCCTTAGTCACATTGTCACTATAGGTAAAAGGATTAGCCTTAGTCACAAAGTCACTATAGGCAAAAAGGATTAAAACACAGTTAAGTTGATCTTTTAGCATAAGAAAAAGTCGAGCTGTACCCTGGAACATAAGAATTATGAGGAAGTAAAACCCTGATCTAAACTATGTAAAAGAACTTTTTACTGATGAGATAATGGTCAACTATAAAAAGGGGCATGCTGTAAAATAAAGTGAGACACTTCTTCCTGAAAGTGCTCCTGTGTCTCTGCGTGTCTTTCTTCTTTTTCCTCGCCTACGCCGTCTCCACCTGAGGGAACCCCTGGACCCTGCGGGAGCTGGTCTCCCGCAGGCGGGTACATGATGAAGGGGGGCGGAATATGCTACCTCAAAATATGCTACTTTGGCACACTGATTCTCTTTAATTAAAGTAACTTGAGAAACAGCAGGTGCAGGGACAGACACTGATCCTCTTTCTCCCCCTTAAAGCAGGCAATAACTCTCCCATGTGAAAGGTATCCTCCCTATACCAGGAGGAGAGAAGGCATCCAGAACTACAGCAAGAAGGAATGAAGACAAGGCTGGGTAAGCTGGCTAAATCAACCAACCCTTCTACTTCACCCAATTACTACTCCAAGCCTAAATCCCTTTGTCTTGTCAAGTCTTCACAAACATATTGTTTCTCTCTCAAAGGTAAAAAGCTGCCTGTTTTTGGTTACTTCTTTCAGTCTCATATTTTTATGGGGCTCCCATACATATGTAACTAAATTTGTTTTTCTACTGTTAATCTGTTTTATGTCAATTTAATTATTAGACCGACCAAAGAACCTAAAGGGGAAGAAGGAAAAAAATTTCCTCTCCTACAATGATATTATGCATTTGGCAAAACCTATAGAATGTACAACACAAGGAGTGAACCCTACTGTAAACTATGGACCTTAGTTAAGTACATGTCAGTATAAGATCATTAATTGTAGTAAGTGTACCATACCAACGTAAGATGATAACAATAGGGGAAACTGAGGGAGATGAAAGGATGTATATGGGCATTCTCTGTATTTTCTGCTCACTTTTTCTGTAAAACTGCTCTAAAAATAGTCTATTCATTAAAAAAATTTAATAAGCGGGCCAGCCGAGTGGCATGTTGGTTAAGACTTGGCTTGGGACGCCATCTCTGAGCAGCAGGGTCCAGGTGCGGATCCCATATGAGGGTCAGTGATGCTGCGCCCTCTACAGCCAAGATGATGAACAACAGCTCGACCTAGAGTTGAGCTGCCATGAGTCCCGGGCAATGGCGTAGGCTGCAGTGGGCTGCAGTGGGCTGCCTTAAGCTACCATGAGCTGCCAGCAAGCCAGCATGAGCTGCCAAGAGGCACCGAAAGCAGCCGTCCAATGGCCAGTGAGCGACTGTCTCACCCGAGAAGAGCACAATGATAATACCAATATGGGCCAGTGAAACGACGTCCTCCACAACTAGACTGAAGAACAAAAGGACAGTAACTTGTCTGTTCCCCTCCCCCAATTCCCCCAAAAAAATCTTTAAAAAATTTTTTTAATAAGTAAATAAGGATAGTAATGAACTATAATTGATTAAAATAAGAGTCCCTACTATAATAAATAAAAGAAGCAAAAGCACTTTCCTATAATATGTCAACTAATACTTGTAGTGGGAAGGGCAGTGTTACATTACCATTTCACAATCATCACAGTAGACTGGTTTAGGCAGAGATCATTACCGGATGATAATTACAGACAGAAAAGTTTGATGAAGAACAGAGTATTCACAGGATCTCAGGGTATCTCTCCACAAATTAGTTGCAAGGGAAAAAACAGTCACTACACAGTGGAGAAACTGGATAATACTTTGACTCTGTGATCAAAATTAGCATCACTAATAAGGGGTGAATGACTACAGTGTGCCTGCAGATGGGTTTATCTGAGGACACCACACAACTTATGCAGTATTCCAGCCAGAAATACATAATCTGAATCTAATCATGAGGAAACATCAGACAAGCCCCAAATTGTCATGAAAGACAAAGGCCAGATCTAAAGAAGTTCAGAGAAACACATACACCTATATATCTCAGGAGTTTGTACATATATGTGTGTGTGTGTATGCACAGAAAGCACAAATGTGGCAAAATATTAACAATTTGGTGAATCTGGGAAAAGCGTATGCAGGAGTTCTCTATTTTTGCAACTTTTCCGTAAGTTTGAAATTATTTCAAAACAAAAATGTAAAAGAACATGTTTAATAAAAAATACTGCAAGTGTAACTAACCTTTGATGGATCATTTTGACTTCAATAAAGCGGGGGTGGAAGGGGGTCTGGTTTAAGGTTGGAGAACTAAAACCCACTACACGGGGAATTAATTCATGCTTCATCCACAGACAAACTATGACAGCAAATAAATTGAAACTGAAGTGCATAAAGTGCTACAGGGTGTCACACGTGTGGTACACTTGATTAAAACACAATCCAGTATTTACAATATATTGTATTAAGATGAGGAAAAAACATGAAAATCTGTCCCATGCAAATGCTGTCAACCCCAAAATGAATTATGTATTTTCTACAAAAGATATTTACTGAGCTTTTCTTTAACAAGTGGCTAACATTAGCATGATCTGTCACAATACTGAAAAGCAAAACAAACCAGTGAATGAATTCCTTAAAACTGCTTTTATTGGGAGCAAGTGAAAATCAAAAGAAATTATATAAGTGTAAGCTATGTATAACTCTTGCAATTTAAAATGTATATTTGGGGATATTTCTATTTGGATGTGATTTTTTGTTGCCAAAAACACTGCACACCTTTAAAAACTCAAGTTGTCCACTAAAGACAGAGAGAGAGAGAGAGAGAGAGAGAGAGAGAGAGAGAGAGAGGGAGAGTGTGTGGGGTTGGCGAAGGAACTACCAACATATTTAAAAATCTTTCAAATGAAATGTTTCAGTCGGTTTGGGGCCCATTGTTCTTAATGTAAAAATGCAACCTATTCCAACTAATTTGCAAGAACAACTTTTGGACAGCAGGAAATGGAATTTTAATAAAAACGTTCAGAATCATTGGAAAGGCTTTAACACGAGAATGATTTAGTAATTGCAACCAGGAATATCCTTCTTCATTTGTATCCACACATTCTCGTAGGGTATTTTTCCATCTGTGATGTCGTTGAAACAAAGCAGAGACATATTCAGAATCAAACTGTTGAATTGCAAAGTGATAAGCCAAAGTTTTTTAAAATGAGGATTAACAACTGGATAGATTTATTAAAAATCATTGTTCACTTAAAATGGGTGAATTTCATGGTATGTAAATTATACCTCAGTTGTTTATAAGGCATATTCAATCGTGTTGTCCTCTACAAATATTCATTTTGCCATATAGTTGACAATTAATATTAGTAGGTGTTGCAATTATCAGCTAAGCATTTGATTGCTTATTTCATCTCTCATCCTCTAGTTTTCATTTTGCTTATTTTCATAACGTACATAATCTACTAAGGTTTTAAATAACCATTTGAACGGTGGATTCAAATTGTTTACTGATAAGGGTTGGCGAGCAAGAGCTTTAAGTCCGCTGTTCTGGAGACCACCTGAAGCGCGGAGACCTCACGGTTCTCTCCAAGGGGCCGTCTGCCAGGTCGCTCAGAAAACAAACGCTAGACGCGTCTTGACCTAATTCTGGACTCGCCTGCATTTCGCTCGCAGCGCTCTGCACCTAGGAAGCGGTCTGGCCCGCTAGACAGCGTCCTCATTCCTGCCTCCCTTAATCCCCAAGCCGCCCCAATACCAAGGCCCCCGAGTTCGCGACCAGGGGGAGGAAGGGCGAAGGCCTAGAGCGCCTGACGGTGCGCTCCTGCAGCCATCAGCGGGAAGGGGGAAAGGGATTCCTGAGCTGAGAGATCCGCGCAGGAGCACAGGCAACGCGCCACGTCCCTGCGAGGATCAAAGGCTCCAGTTAGGCGCTATCTTCCGAGAAGGCACGGGAGGATCCCGAGTGGGCGGTCTCAGGCCGGAAAACTGCGGCGCCACGAACAGGCAGGGCGGCCTAACACTTTCCCAGGAGCGAACTCGGGCGTGCGCTCTACTGTTCTCCCCCCCCCCAGGAGCAACCCACGTTGCCAGAGGCGCGGGGGCGGGGCGTGCGCGGAAGGGGCGGGGCGAGCGCGGTGGGTGGGGACTGGCCCGGGGCGTTCCCTGTGCACACAGGCTTCCCGCGGGCTGCTCCCGCACTGCGCTGGTGGCCTGGGATGTGACCGGCCGGGTCTGCGGCGGCCCGAGGACAATGTTTGCCCACCTGGGCGTGACGACCCTAGTGCTGGTCGCCGGGGCTCCATGGGTCTTGCCCTCGGCTGCAGGTGAGAGACGAGGGGTCCCGGCGCAGGCTTCGGGGCGCGGCGCGAGGCTGGGCGGGGGCGATGTTGGAAGCCACGGTCTGGGGAGGTGGCTGGGTGGTAAAAGATGTCCTTCCGGGAGGCCCCTGGTCATCCCTGGCCGCAGTGCTCAGATTGAAACCGACTTGGGCTCGAATAGCAAGCAAGAGGAAGTAGTGTTCAAGATCTTAGGCACGCCGCTTGATTGGCGGCCAGCGTACCCCTCCCCGGACTGGGGGCGCCCTCCCCTCCCGTCCTCCGCCCTCGGCCGCAGCCTCGTCACTCAGCCCAGCGGCACTGGATGTGCGAGAGCCTTCGTGTAGCGTTTGTTTCTTTGTTTCTTTGGGTCGACTGGACCGCTTAATAACAATAAGGATTTAGCCACGAACTATGCATACTGTTCCTGAAACGCATATCCTTAATTTCGTCAACAGCTCCACGTGGGAGGGAGGTGAGGGTTGCAGAATTATTCGTGTTTTCAGGATTCGTACAGGCTAATACAAAGTAATAATAAAAGGAAATTATGCATCCAAAATACAAAGGCCGGGAGCCACCAGGTTAGTCGGCGGTCTCAGGCCGGAAAGAGGGGGTGGCATTTTTAATACTTCGCCAGGATGTAACTGGGAGAATGGCAGCTGTTATAAAGGCTGATTTTGCAGTGCGGAGGTGTGCCCAAAGAGAAACGGGGCTTAACGGTCGCGGGCAGGAATCCAGGAGGTCGGGGAGGCAGCCTAGTGGATTCAAATACTTAATTATTGACTTTGAAAACATTACCCCAATGCGGTACATGGTATCCTGTTTCTCAAACTCTTCCACAAATATAGTACATATATTTGTACTATATTTAGTACAAATGGTACTAAATTTGTACCATTTGGTGGGTGGGTGGTAGCAGGGCTCTAGGTTAGCCCGTGGTAATGTCTTGAAAGTCTTTTTGTTTATGAAAATTTGCGTTAAACTCATGTTTGCTTTAATAAGGATTTCCCTAGAGTTTTCATGTAAAATTAACATTCCAGAAGGATGTGCATTGAGATCCTAATTTTAATCTAGATCAGAGAGAGCTGCTAAAATGAATTTTATACCCAGCTGTGCTCTTAACTCTGTGCCAGGCACTACTCTGAGTGTTTTAAGGGTAGAAACTTCTTTAGGCTTTCAAAACAAACGCTAGGCGCTCTTATCCTCATTTCACATGTGAGTAAACTAAGGTCCTGAGAGATTGAGTAACTTGCCTAAGCCATACCGCTAGCCAGTGGCTGAGTGGAAAATCAGACCCAGGGAATCTGGCCTCAGAGATCTGGTGCTTAAGGTGAGACTGTTTTCCTAAAGACCAAACAGTTTAGGGCCGGCCAAATCGCGTGTTGGTTAAGAGCTGGCTTGGGATCCCAGCTCTGAGGAGCAGGGCCCCAGATCAGATCCCACATGAGGGCCAGTGACACTGCCCTCTACAGCTAAGACACTGAACAACAGCTCAACCTGGAGCTGGGCTGATGTGTTCGCCAGCGGTGGTGTAAGCTGCAGCCCCTGCTGCAGTGGGCTGCCATGGGCTACCGTGTGTAGCCAGCAGCCAATGTGAGCGGCCGTCCAGAAGCCGGTGACTGATCTGCCTCGCCCGGGAAGAGCGCAATGATGGTGCCAACTTGGGCCAGTGAAGCATAGTCCTCCACAACTAGACTGAAGAACGAAAGGACAGCAACTTGTCTGTTCCCTTTCCCCCAATTTCCCAGCGCTGTTCCCATCCCCCAATTCCCCAATAAAAATCTTTAAAAAAAAAAAAACATAAAAATAAAGACCAGTTTAAATTCTCGATTATCCACCTCTGTGTTAAGGGCCTAGTTATCTTTCAATTACCTGATCTACTTTTTTTCTCAAAGGAAAAGTAGTGTTCAAAGCTATATGAAATGTTCACCCTAACTTGAGATCATAATGTTCTGTCTTTCAAAGTCATAAAAATGTTCATACTTTTAAACCTAGTAAATGCAATTCTGAGACCCTAGCCTAAGAAAACTGTCCAAAATATGAGAGGAAATTTATGTTTGTATGGATGTATGTGTTTGGCTTTATGTCAGACTTAAATAAAATAGTAAACTGGCCGGTTATCAGTATGAATGTGAAAGGTTGAAAGGCAACCAATTGTATAAATAGAAGTTTGGATTAAGTGTCTTTTACATGCTAAAGGAGAGAAATGAACTATTATCAAAAGGCTATTGCTAATACTAATAGAACAAAAATCTATGAAATCTAAAATCCTGTTTAATAACTATTTCCAAGTCTCTGTCCATTTATCAATCAGTTATGTGTTGATCTCCCAAATGCCAGGATACCTCTAACTCCAGGGTTCCTTTCCTTAGCAGAAGAATTGCATCCCTGAGGAACTCCCTGGCTCCACCCTATCAGATTTCCTCCTAGTATCTCAAGGCCCCAAATTATAGAATTAGAATATTCTAGACTGGATGCTACAAATGCCATTAGATCTTTTGTTAACCCCTGTAAAGCTAGTCACTGCCCTTTAGTTGCATAGAATCTATAAAATTCCAACAAATGGGATGGGAATTAAGTTTAGAGGAGTGGGGTAAGTGGAAGTATTCTGTTCAGGGATGAAGTCTCAGAGAATATGAGGGTGAAACAAAATAGAGAGTGGGGATGCTTAATTGAGTACCTCCCCCAGTTTAAAAACAAATTCAGAAAATGTTTTCTCAAATGTCTCCCCTTTTGATTCCATACCATAATATCTCTCACTGGAAAGTAGAGGAAGCAGTCCAAACAAAGAAAGTTCTACACAAAGATCCCTGTCTGCGTAAAAGTCTGCAAGTAGATAACATGCTTGTCCTTAGGCAGAAGTAAAGGCTAGAAATATTGTAGGAACCAGAAGTAAATTTAAAAGCTGGTCTTTGAAAAATTGTAGTTTATCATCGTGAAAGATCAGACCTTTGCAGAAGAAGCTTCTGTGATCTCAGCATTATGCTAAGTACTCTGAAAAATGCAGATTAAGTATGCAGATATATAGACCCTGCTCTTAAGGAACTTGCAGTATGGTTGGAGGTTTGTGTTTAACACAAAAAAGCAACTAAAAGAAAAACACCTTTACTCAACAAGTTTTGAGAGCCTGTCAGATAACAGGTACTGTGCTTTATTATTGTTATTTTTTCCCCCTATTTCCGTGTGAAATCGAGCAGTTCAGATTCATTGTATAGCATATGAAGGGAAATCAGCGTGAGCTGCAGTATTTGAGGGAAGTTTTCTAGAAGGGGTCAAACTTGAGCTGAGTCTTGGGGGATTTGAGTGGTCAGAGAGGAAGAGAAATGCAGATTGGAGGGGCCAGAAGAGAGAAATAAGGGGAGAGGGCGTCCACCTGGTGGGAGATTTGTCCTAGGAGTGTAAGAAATAAAGTAGGTCTCTAGAAGTCCTTAAAAGTAAAGAGGAGTAAATGAAGTTCAGACTTGATTTGTTCAGCAGTCAAGACCTTTTCAGGTTCCTATAGGGCTTGGCTGACAAACATTCATACCTCTCTCTCGTGATTTTTGTCATGTGAATTTTCATTTCCTGTACATACTTATTAAGGTTAAAATCACATCTTTGCAGCTCTCTGTCAGAGTATATGAAGCATATATTATCTCTGAATATAGAATGTGAAACCAAACAGTTCAAGCCTNCTGTTCCCCTTCCCCCAATATCCCAGCGCTGTTCCCATCCCCCAATTCCCCAATAAAAAATCTTAAAAAAAAAAAAAAAGTAAAGGCCATTGCCTACAGCTGTTGTAGGCTCAGTGGTAGCAGAACCATTTCTAAGGGTATCATTTCGTAGATTTTTATTTAATAGATTTCCTTGCATATGGTTACATTTTTTTTTTTACACAAACTGTCGGCACTTTTAACATATTGATGTGTCAAAACATGTATTGATGCTAAACATCTTTTGTTTTTAGGAAATACTTCTAAAACCTGGCTTATAGCTGGAATCTGCATTGCATTTTCTATCCCAGTTGTCCTTTACATTGTGAAAGTCTTCTGGAAATTTATCCGTTATGTGTTCTTTCCATCAAGTAAACCTCCTTCCACTATAGATGAGGTATGTTACTTTTCTTTGTCTGAATTTTTCTTAAATGGGAAATATATTTGGTTTCAACAGAATACATATGATTTCTTGATATTTAGAAAATAATGCAGACTGATTTGGGTCTTTTCTTCAAAATTTCAGTGAATTAAGTTTGGAAGCAGTCATTTAGTATACTATAACACGGGATGGTCAAGTTTGACCTTAATCTCATTTTTCTGGCTGTTTGGCTACTGTGGCATTTGTTTTACCATTGAAAGTCTTTGTATCACAGAAAGAGTTAAACGTTGCCATCAGTGCAGAAACTGTATTCTATGGATGAAATCACAGAAAATGAAATAAGAAAACATGAGTTTCTTTCCATGACCCTCTCTCAATTTTGTGTTTTTTGGGCGGGGAGGCGGGGAGGGGTCACTCCTGTGAGGTCAGCATATTTAATGAAAGCACTAAATGATGAAGACCTAAGTATAGATTATGCCCTGGGAGTCGGATGTTCACGTAGGCTGGGCTTCAGGTGCCTGCCTGATACGATATTCTAATATCATTAAGAGCTTAGGCTTTGGAGCTAGAGAGACCTGATGGTGAATTATTGATAAGCTGTAATATATTTGCACTTGCGAGCTCCAGGAACTTGAACAAGTCCTTTTAGGCTGGAAGATGGAGCCAATGATACCATCCCATAGAGTTGTGAGCAACAAAGAGAAACCAGAAAGGCTTTGGCCTGTAAAAATGTTCTGTAAATACTGACTATTTTACTCTTACATCCCTGCGTTTTTAAATGTCATTCCTATATACGCTAATACTCATAGCTGTTACTGAGAGAACTTAAATCTAGCTGATTACAACAGCTAATCTTAGTTGAACAGGGAAAAATTAATTTATCGTTTGTGCTGCTTCTGGATATTTGTGGATTGGATACGAAAATTTTTATTACTTCAGAATTTCCATAACCCCAGTGCTGTCCGCTCCCCACCCTCCCCCATGCTTTCCCACCCCCTGCCCCTGATAGCACAGTGTACTTAGGTATTCTTCATATACTTAACAAAAAAACGATATTAAGATGCACATGACCTCACCAATGGTGGTTTTATTCCACACATTATAATGCAGGTGATAGGCGCTTAGCTGACTTTTTAATATGCATGCCAAAAGATAAGTTTTCTAGATAGCGGACTTCAGAAACTAAAGCTATTAGAACTAGAAAACTGATTTTTATTATTTTAAATAACCTGTTTCTGTTCTTTCCCTTTTTTAAATTAGTATTTCTCTGAACAGCCACTAAAGAATCTATTTCTTTCCACTTCTGAGGAACAAATTGAAAGATGTTTTATAATTGAAAATATGGACACCATTTCTACAATAGGAATTAATCAAATTGATGAAGATCACAAAAAATATAATTCCCAAACGAGTCAAGATTCAGGAAACTATTCTTATGAAGATGAAAACAGTGGAAGTAAAATAAGTGAAGNGTTACTAGTACCAAATGCAACTTTACTTCACCTGACATAAATGTTTATGAAGAAATGAAACTGCGTATAAGAGCAGAAAAGGGAAACAGCACTTCTCCATGGTATGAGGTTGCCCCGTTTATACCATTTCAACAAGGTAAGAAAAAGTGGCCAGCTGAGTTGCATTATAGTCTTTGTTAAATATTACCAGAACAGCTCACTTCTCAAACCCATTCATTTACATAATGAAAAATCTTCCATCTTCCAAAAAACAAACAAAAACCAGCAACAAAGATTCACTTAAACTTACCTCATTCCTGCTTTTGCCTGATTTTTCTGCTTTCCCTGTAATAGTGGTTCTTAAAACATGGTCCTCGAGACCGTTTCAGGAGGTCTGTCAAGTCAAAACAATTTTATAATCATTCAGAAGACTTATCTGCCTTTTTCATTTTCATTTGCTCTTGAGTATACACTGGGATTTTCCAGATGCCATTTGATGTGTGGTTTGATGACTTACTGAATGCAGAAGTAGGTGTGAGGTACATCTGTCTTCTTTATTAAGCCAAACATGGAAGAGATTTGAACAAAAACATGAAACAGCACAGGGCCACTCGTCTCACTAAGTTTTTTGGTTGGTTTGTTTAGGGAAATACAGTTAATTTTATATAACAAATGTTGGTTACTGTGTAATAGGTTTATCGTTATTATTTTAATGAATTAATAAATATCAGTTAATGTTTAATAGGCTAAATATCAAAAGACATAACCCATGTAAAGAAAAGCTCTCTGGTCTGGGACCCTCCGTTTCTTTATGTGTGTAAAGGGATCCTGAGACCAAAAAGTTTGAGAACCACTACCCTGTACGGAACTCCCAGAAGGACTATCTGTCCCTCTTTTCTGTCCTTTTTCTTCCCACTCCCTCTTAACCCTCCCCACTTGAGCTTGTTCATATCACTACACTAAAACTACTCTTGTCACGGTCACCAGTGACCTCCACCACGATGCCCAGTGAGTTCCCAGTCCCCATCTGGCTCCCATCGACGTGGTTGTCCCCCCCTTTTCTCAAAACCCTCCCGTCTCTGGGCCTCTAAGACACTGCTCTGTCCTGGCTCTCGTCCTGCTCGTCGGTAGCGTCTTTGCCAGTTTCTCCTTATCTCTCAGACCTTTAAATGTTGGACTGCAGCAGGGCTCAGCCACTTAAGCTCTTCTCTTTCCGCACTCATTCCACTGGTAATCGTATGGCTTTCGGTACCATCTATGTGCTCTGGACTCCCAAAGTGATATCTCCTTCCCCTTAACCTTGAGACGAATTACCAACTCTCTGTTCAACATCCCTACTTAGATGTCTCAAAGTCACCTCAGATTTAAAATGGCCCAATAAAACTCGTCATCTTCCCCCTCAAAACCAGCTCTTCTTGCGGTTTTCTTCTATCTCTGTTAATGATGTCACCTATTTATTTGCTCAAGCCAAGAGCCTTGGAATTATCTTGGACTTCTCTTTTCCTTACATCCAACCTTCCACCTGTCAACAAGTTCTCAACGATCCACCTTCCGCGTATACCCTGAATCGGATCCCTTGTCCGTTCCCCTCCTGCTGCTGGCCTTCACCAAGCCGCTTTCGCTTCCTCGTCCATCAACCAGGTTGATCTTACCAAAACGTAAATCAGGTCATGGCACCCCTCCAATCTCATTGTTCTTTATTATCTGGCTGCTAGCTAATTCTGATCTCATTTTCTACCATTAAGCCATTGAAGCCACCCCTTTGTCTCTTGAGAATGGTAAGTACCTTTTCCATCTTAGGGGCCCTGCAATTGATGCCCTCCACCCCCCGCGCCCCCAAGTTTGGAATACATGCTTTTACCCTAGAGATTTGCATGACATACTCATTCACTTTAGTCGCATCTCAGCTCAGATGTCTCAGAGAGGCTTTCCCTGACTCACTTATCTAAAACAGCTCTTGCTACCATCCTCTATCCCTTTATATTACTTCATTTTTCCTTATAGCACACATGATATTGTATGTTTTTTGTTTATTGGAGGTTTTTCCCATATCCCCCATTAAAGTGTAAGCGCCACGAGGGTCTCTCTTTGACCATGTCAGGCACATAGTAAGTAATCAGAATTATTTGTTGATTGAATGTTTTGGCATTGTATTAATGAAATTGTACAGTAAATGTTTTGATTCTTGCAGCCCAAATTGGTCCTCCAGAAGTACATTTACAAGCTGAAGATAAGGCAATAATGATAGACATCTCTCCTCCTGGGACAGAACATAGTATCATGTGGGTCCTGGAAAGTTCCAGCTTTAGCTACAGCTTAGTAATCTGGAAAAATTCTTCAGGTGGAGAAGTAAGTATTTTTACCTTTGTTTGATAGGACAGAAAAATGACGTGAATTAATTCTGAAATTTGACTTTGTACTTTTTTATAAAGAACAGGACTGAAACCATTCATTCCAAAGATAAAATTTATAACCTCTCACCAGAGACTACTTACTGTTTAAAAGTTAAAACAAGACTACGACGGCAGAGAAAAATTGCTTCGTATAGTCCAGTGCAATGTATAACTACCACAGGTAAGGAGAAAGTTTTGCTTTTAGATTCAATAACTATATATACAGATTGGCAATCTAGTCATTTTGGCATTTTNAAAAAAACTCAATCTTTCCCTGTTCTCTCAGATGCAGAAATATAAATAATTAGCAGCCTCCCTGTGCTGCAAGCAATCATTAGGTGTTCTTAGATTTTTTTTTATGTACTTTGTTATATTTAAATATTCGATGTGAAGGGAAGAATAACGTTTCTAAAAATAATTTGTAATGTATATATAACTGTCTTCTTTCTTGTTACCTTTATAGGGGAAACACATCTGAAATCTCCTGAAAATGTAGAGGTCTACATCATTGATGACACCTTTATGCTGAAGTGGAACGGAAGCAATGAGTCCATCACGAATGTGACTTTTTCAATGGACTATAAAACGTATGTGACTCTACTTGCTGATTTGCCAGAATCATCTGAAGAATTTTTATAACTTTTAACACCATAGTTTGTTTGTTTTTCAGATTTGTGAAACATTTTGTTTTTTCCATTTTTAGAAGAAATTTTGTCTACTTTGCCTAATACATATAACTTCATTTCTATTGGGTCGTTGGGAAAGTCATGGTGTATTTTTCTGTTTTTCAGCGCAAAAATGCGTCATGACTTTGCCGACGACTCAATGCAAATAGAGACTTAGTCAAATTTATCTTTGGACATTGACACAAAGAGATTCGGGGGAATGCCGATGGCAGACAGCTTCTGCAGTCCACAGCCATACCTGCACTATTCTAGATGCTCCACCTTCTTAAAATATACATCTGGATCTGAACTAGAGGGTCACCATAACTTGAGGCTAGGGGGGACAGAACCCCAAAAAGCCTGCCCACGGTTTGGGAATAAGAAACCAGGTCTCCTCCTGTGGTCACGCGTTCCTATGATCTCCATCATATACAACGTATTAATTTTAGATGCAATTTATAAACATCCATACTGGGGGTGCCAAAAAATGTGTACACATGACTCGTATTCATCTTTTGTTATCAGTATGTATTGAGGATTACAGCTTTAATACAGTCTTTTTCCTTTCTTAAAATGTGTACACATTTTTTGGTGCTGTCTGTATGTTGGACCCTGCGTTTCCACACTTGTTAGCATTTCAGTTCCTCCTCCCTTGTGCTGCCTTTGTACTTAATAATTGCAGAAGTAAACAGAACAGAGGTCAGGAAGTACTTTGCTCAGGGTGTTGGGGCCTGTCTGCTAACCCTGGCTCCTTGTCTGAGAATGGAAGAGCAGGCGTAGGCCCTCCAGTACCAGGATCCCACCCCTTCACTCATGGCCATGGCATGCTGTTCTCCAGTTGACTGTTAATAAAACTGTGAGATTACTTTTAATATCACAGCTTTAGTAGTGTGTGTGTATGTACATACATAGAACACACGTATATGGTTTTTCTTGGAATTAATAATAGACGAATTTTTATCTCAGCGTTTTTCTTTAAATTGAATTTTGAGTTTTGTTACCAATTTTGTTCTTTGTGTGAGTTCAGAATTTTCATATTGAACGGCTGTTTTAAGTACAGCAAAGATGACCTCAGATACCCTTCGTTCAAGTTCGCCAGTAATAAAGAACAGAGCCACAGACAAGCACTGTCGTTCTTCCTTCACACGTTACAGTTATTGCTTATACTGAATTCTCCAGTCCACAGCCGTCTTGTGTCCTTTCATTCTGACTTTAGCATCAAATGCATTATTCCAGTGTGTTCTTACTCTGTTCTGCTAGCTTTAAAAACAATCGCCCCTGTAAAAATATGCCCGACTGCAAGTTTGGGGAGGCCATATAACGTTAGTGTAGTATAGTGTAGCATGGACTTGAGCCAGGCTGCTTGGGTTTAAGTCCATCCTCTGCTACTTACTCTATCACCGTTTCCTTATCTGTGAAGTAGAGATAAAAACTATGACCATGTATAATTTGGCATCCAAACCAGATACTTTTGAGAGTGAAAAGAGGCACTTAAATTTTACATAAGCTGAAACAACAAGCTTAAACCAGGACTGTCCTAGGCAAACTGGGCTAGGACACCCGAATAATAAAATGTCTAACTAAGAAAGTTATTATGAGTATTGAACAATTGTGTAGAAAGTGCTCAGAACAGTGGCATAGAGTAAGTGATCAGTTAAAGTGTAGTTAATAACAGCAGCAGACCAGTGTCTTTTAGTGTAGTGTTTCTCAGACTGGAGCACGTACGTTGTTGGTGATAAACAGTACACAGATGCATGAGTAAGCCATTAGATCCTGGTGCGTGTAGGACCCACGCTAAGACATCAGTGTTTGTGGCCTGTACCTAAAATTTGTTATGATGTAGGTGCTGTGTAGTAGTCTTCTCATTCCATAAATATTGAATGCCTTTATTTTGTATTTTTTTCTTTGTTTTTCTCGTCATTTTGTTTTTCTTTTCTTTTTTTTATTTGTGTTGTTTTTCCTTTGAATTCCAAACACTCTTCTGGGTGCTTAGACTACATCAGTGAAGAGGAGAGACAAAGATGGCGTGAAGTTATATCATGAAACCTGTTTTATGAAATGAATTTCATATTGGTTATATATTCACTTCCAAATTATTTTCTGTTCTGATGTACATACTGTATATGATAACGTATTTTTTTAAAGGAAATATAAAAGTAGCTACCACGGCAGTGGCTCCCTTATATGCAAAAGCAGTTGTAATAGAGTGTGCAGGAAAGACAGATGTAAAAAGTGAAGGTGGGTTGAAACCATATCAGGGCTTAGTTTTAAATTTTTTTATAAAGTTTTCTGTTTATAATAGAGTTTTCCAGATGAATGGACCATACAGTCGTTACCTGCTTTTTGCCTGTAGCTCATTTTGTTTTGACCTTCTGTGCCCCTGATTTAAAGAAGCCTGTGTACTGTACTCACTTCCCAGACTTCTTATAGCTCCTGCTTTCTCTGGAATTCTTATTTTCTAATCAAAGACATTTGAGAAAAACAAAACTATCAAAAAAACCTGGATTTCGAGATATGGAGGAGTTTTTCAGGAATGTTTATGTTAAAATAAGGTATCATTAATGCCAGCTCTACTCTCAGAGCTCAGGTAGGTAATTAGAAGAAGTAACTGGCCAGGAAGGAAGTGTTCTATATGCTAGTGTGTATTTTTTGGAAATTTAAAAAAATGTTTCCTGTTTGAAAAATAAGGTAGACTTGAATTTGGGTCAGCACCAAAATTATTTGGATAGCATCCCTCGTTTCTGTTGTTGTAAAGCATCTTTAAAGTGAAGCCTACAATATTCAAAAAAAAAAATCAGCTAGATTTTTCATAATGCTAGAATTATGAATTAACCTTGACAAAACTGCCTTCTCAGAGGATAATTTCTCTATGTGGTTTAAGGTAGGCAGGGCTTAACCATAGGTAGAAGTTTTGAGATCTAATGTTTGTTTTCTGTCCCTCACATTCACTTCAGTCTCCTTTCCCCCTTTGGAGCCACAGGTCCTTTCTGTTTGGGGCACTGGATGCCATCTTGATTTCTTCATGTTTGAAGAATCTGATAGTAATCACTTAAACTTTTTGATTGACTAAATCCACGTTGAAGAGTTTGTTAGTTTATGTGAACATTTTAAGTTCTTTGTTTCTAGTGATACAATAGGAGGAATTAAGGAGATCAGCAAGCAGAAGAGATGGTTTGGTTTTGAGGAAAGCAGAGGAAATTCTCAAACCAGGTGGAGTCTGAGGTCGGTCTTAAGAGTAGGAAGTCTGTTCATAGGAGGAGATCAGAAGGGAATCATCCGATCCAGTTTCCAAATTCTCAGTAAGAAAGAGAAGATCCAGAAATGCCAAGTAGTTGTCCAGAAGTCACACAACTATTTTTAACAAAACTGAAACTAGTCCACTTTTACCTTATAGGTCATTTCTGTCTCTGCTTCTTTGAAATCTAATGCAACAACATACAATTACACACAAGTACACACAATTACATAAGTACCATCTATATATATGCGCCGGACTCCCAAAATGACATCTCCAGCCCCATTCCTTCCGCTTACCTCTAGAACTGTATTAAAGAGTAACCGTATGTCAGAATTAATCCTTTTTATGAATAATGACTTGGTATATATGTATTGAAAAAGAGTGGAATGTTAT